CCAAAGACCGATAAAAATTGTGGTTTTTTCAATATTTCCACAATATAGCAAACACCGTATTGATTTAGAGAGTATGCCAGTTTATTTGCTATTAATAGAAAATAAATGAAAGTATGAATAAAAATACCCCCACCTCAGCAAACCTGCAGACTAAGCTAATTTCCATTTGCTTGATTTGATTTTCACAAACCTATTTAATAACGTTAGGTTTAACTGGTGCCTAGGTTTTGCTCTACAGGGAGGGTAATATAGTATATAAAATAATAATAGTATGATAAAAAACAAATAAATTTACCCAATTTTATAAAAATGTGTCTATAAACAAGGAAAAAAACAATAATTAAAAATCTTCGCTATTGGAATAACTTGAGGCTTTTTAATTTACATTTTTTTATTTTCTCCGTAACCAATAACTGTAAAAAAAAACATTTTAATGTACTAAATTATTTGTTTTTAAGCTCTACAAAATTCTTTAATGATACAATTGTAAAATTGTATGTTTTGAGGGTTAAAAATGAAAAAAAAAAAATATTCTTACCGGCAAAATACCTATAAAGCAACCGTTCCTATGGCCTTATCATGCCAATCATGCTTTGCGAACTCGTTTTAATAAATAAATGTACGTGTGCATGATTCAATGATTTATATAGGCCATTAAGCAAAAGCAATAGGCTAAGTCACTTACAATACAAAGTAAATGATAAATAGTCCATCTCTTGATTCACAAATAAAAGTAATGTTTGTACCAAATTCGACTAAATCGGATGATTTTTGGGAATCATCGTGCTAACGGACGATAATAACTTTTTTTGATACAGTTTAGTAAAATCTTTAGTTTTTTTTTATACAGGGTCTCCAAAAAACTTACCTAGTTTGAAAATTTATTTAATTAATTTACTAGATACAAACTACTGTTCAACGACTGATACCATAGAGAAGGCTATGCTGATACATTAAATGAAAGGTAATCAAATAAAAGTTATTTTAACACTATCACACCTCAATATGCGAACCATTTGTAGCCCTGCAGACATGCAAGCTATTTTTACTCATTTTTATCATTAATATTTTATTATTTGTATTATAATTTATTACCAAAACTATGTTCAAGGTCAATTAGGTGTACGCAACTCGTTGTCAACGTATGAAACTAAAACTTTGAAGTAAACTCTAAACAGCACGAAATGATTATTACTCATCCATTTGAACAATAGTATCGTGAGGTATGTTTAAAACTATGGAGTCTTTTTCGGACACCCGGTATATATATATTTATATATGTTATAACAATTTGAACCAACAGTATTTTTGGCCTCTTGGAATACCAAAATGAAAAAGTAAATCGGTCCCGGGTCTAGGTCTTACCATGAGACCTACTGTAATAGCGTATTCCCTATAAGGGAAATTTGCTAATAATCAGCATATCATTTATATTAAATGGTGTGTGTTGAGGAAACCACTATTGAATCTTTTCATCAATTTCGTTGTCTCTAGCAATGCGAGAATGGCGCACGTCAACATGTTGCTCACTGTTAATGTTCAACTGACGTCATTTTTTATAATATTTATCAACTTCCTACGGATTTGATGAGGACGGATCATCCCAAGCGCCCATCAAGTTACAACATTTTGTCTGTTATCCCTCGTCCCCGAGTCAATCCACCAGAGCTTTTCATTGTCTTTATGAGGGCCTGTTCGATGGCCTATCTCCGACAGCCAACTGCTTACCGAACGTTTATAAACTGAAAGAGATACCTGTAGATCTCTAATCTCTGATGGTATATTCCTATACAAAAAATTCGCAATATAAAAAGCATTGGTAAGGTTTGCAGACTTGAAAACTCGGGGTACCTGCATACCTACATTTACAGCTTTTGTGGTGGGATAGTTATGTGTGATTGGCGTCACTATCAAATCTTGATTGGAGTAGGTATATACAAGTAAAGTTTTGATAAAAAGTTGACGCACCGAAAGTAATTGAGTGTTTTTGGATAATAAATTTGTAGGGAAACGCCTGTTGAATTAAAAAAGCTATTTTAATAATTAGTTTTTGTATGACAAACAGTGGCTTTAAAATATTGCTACTAGCTCCTCCCCATACTATAATTCCATATTGAAGTACCGATTGGACAAATGCATAGTATAACATTTTTATTTCATTAATGTTAAGAATTTTGCGTAAGTTTCTAAAAACATAAATTAATTTCCTAAGGTTTGTCTTATACTTCAATGATCATGCTTCGCGAACTCGTTTTTATTGAGGTGTGATAGAGTTAAAATAACTTTTATTTTATTACCTTTCATTTAATGTATCAGCATAGCCTTCTCTATGGTATCAGTCGTTGAACAGTAGTTTGTATCTAGTAAATTAATTAAATAAATTTTCAAACTAGGTAAGTTTTTTGGAGACCCTGTATAAAAAAAAACTAAAGATTTTACTAAACTGTATCAAAAAAAGTTATTATCGTCCGTTAGCACGATGATTCCCAAAAATCATCCGATTTAGTCGAATTTGGTACAAACATTACTTTTATTTGTGAATCAAGAGATGGACTATTTATCATTTACTTTGTATTGTAAGTGACTTAGCCTATTGCTTTTGCTTAATGGCCTATATAAATCATTGAATCATGCACACGTACATTTATTTATTAAAACGAGTTCGCAAAGCATGATTGGCATGATAAGGCCATAGGAACGATTGCTTTATAGGTATTTTGCCGGTAAGAATATTTTTTTTTTTCATTTTTAACCCTCAAAACATACAATTTTACAATTGTATCATTAAAGAATGTTGTAGAGCTTAAAAACAAATAATTAAGTACATTAAAATGTTTTTTTTTTACAGTTATTGGTTACGGAGGAAATAAAAAAATGTAAATTAAAAAGCCTCAAGTTATTCCAATAGCGAAGATTTTTAATTATTGTTTTTTTCCTTATTTATAGACACATTTTTATAAAATTGGGTAAATTTATTCGTTTTTTATCATACTATTATTATTTTATATACTATATTACCCTCCCTGTAGCAGCAAACATAGGCACCAGTTAAACCTAATGTTATTTAAATAGGTTTGTGAAAATCAAATCAAGCAAATGGAATTAGCTTAGTCTGCAGGTTTGCTGAGGTGGGGGTATTTTTATTCATACTTTCATTTATTTTCTATTAATAGCAAATAAACTGGCATACTCTCTAAATCAATACGGTGTTTGCTTCAAACAACTATATTGTGGAAATATTGAAAAAACCACAATTTTTATCGGTCTTTGGAAAATTTATTTATTTTGATGGTCTGTATTTTGACCATTATTTACGCTACATACTTGCTGTTGGGCTTAAACTGTCACAAATTTATTCTTCTTTAATGTAATAATATACAATTTTCGGTAAAATCAACGGTTCGCGAGATTGAGTGAAAAACAATAGGAATTGCCATATTTTTTTTATTTCGATAACAAGTGGCGCGCCCCGCGGCGAGCGGCAGCATCTCGAGGTGGATAACTTGGATTTTATGTTGTGGGCCCAATACTAACAACATATCCAAAAATCAGAACTACCCGACCTTTTGCATACCAAAATGTCTAATTTTACTGGACTATATTTGAAACTTTTACAAAGGATTTCAGGCTAGATTTTAGGCTTAAATAGCAGCCGTTGAAGTGAATCGATGACAGTTCTCAGCTGTAAACCAAATACCTGTGCGGTTAGATTGAAGGAGAATACATAAAAAAATAAAAAAAAAAAAAAAAAAAAAACAGAGTTGGCAGCACTGTTACACTAACCACGTGACAGCGGTCGATCGCAGGTGACACATTGATGCAGCGGTTGCCCGCGGCGGGTACCCGCTGTGAATAAAAGGGGCCTTAAAATGGTGTAACGTTTTAACAAACAACACGGGGACTATATTTGCATAGTTTTTAGTGTCCATAAAATCTGTGATTCAATTTTGTTCCGCAATTTAGGCACTAGTTGTTACAACCGTGCATCGCTATGAAGGGACGCGGAAGAGAATAAACAACCCAGTTATAGTTTGTGGTTTGATATAGACATGCTGCATACAATTATTACACATCCATAATTTCTTTTAAATTCATATTTTAATTTTACCGCTTGGTTTGGTTTTTTTTTATATTTAGATAAGGGGTGAAATGGTGTAACCAGCCGAATATGTGTTTTAAAATACTGTGGCCAATACCTTGTTTACAATAACGTGACTATTATAGTCACTATATTCCCACGATTACCTGATTTATTTTGAAAATATACGCTTAAATGTGTACTTATTTTTAAACTCCAGCATACATTTGAACGTTATTCGCCTATTGGGTCTGATGATGATTAGAGTGTCCAATCGAAATCGATCATCACTTACCACCTTGTTTGTATATTTACAGTCTTGTGAGTAAAGTATAAGCGTAAATATATATTTAAGTGTTATAAGAAGTCTCTTTTATTTACTTTCCATACATATAAAGTCACATAAATATAGATGTTATGCACAAATTCTTTGCCTTCTTGGCCTCTTTACCTGCAGCACTAACAAGTGCCAAATGCAACGATAAGCGAATTTCCACGAAACTTATACTACCTTCCTTCCATACCTTCCTTCCATAACTCAACATTACCTCCGGGTAAACACCAACAAAAACATGTTTAAACACCTGATTCATACTAATAAAGTTCTGTATCAGGAAATTCAAAGGGATAATTTTTATTTGTCCTGTTTTGTCCACGTCACACTTCAGCTGTTGAGCTGGTCATGACACCGTTGCCATACTGTCCTTTGATTGCACTGTTTAGGGTGTGTTTTAGTACAATTGTATAACACAAATTTACAGGTATATGAGAAAACTACTCAATTGTCGTCTTTGTTTCTGCAAACACCATTGTAATCTGTGAGCAACTGCTCCAGATGTCACCGTTACTTTGGAAAATACTTGAGCCTATAATGTCACTGAAGTACTGAAAGTGAATTCTAACCAAGTATTCTCTGTTTCAGGAAATGAAGACGATGAGACATGTCAACATGACCAGCTTCTGACAACTCTCCAGGCCTGCACAGCTTGCCAAACTGTCATTTAATATTACATATAGCTCCATTCACCTTTCAACAAAATATGACAACAGTTAATTATAATTATTAAACATAAATATAAAACTACGTACATTGAATGTCTATTGATTTCACCTAGAACATTCTACTAACAATTTGTTCTTGATTCTCAATATGTGACATCAAGTACTGCTATGGATAGTGTTATAAAACAAATCATTTATAAGATAAAATATTATGTATTTTCTTACAATAAGTAACAGTAAATTATTAAAACTACTTTGTCAGTCTTAAACCATACAAATGGTAAAATAAATCGTGTTAGTGTATATTAGAATATAATATTAAAGGAGTAACATTGGAAGTTTATAAAATTGATTACTTTTAAAGCACAAGTAACTGTAAACCAATAATGCATTAAAATGGGAATCTGAAGTCAACTGTTTGTATTGGCAATTGATGAGTCCTGTGAGTGCATTGCACAAAAAATACTTGTAAAGCGACGGACTATTATTCTAAGACCATCCTTCATATGACACATAGCACTACACATTGTTTGTAAAAATGTCGTGTCCTGTAAGGTACACGTGTGTGTCATTTATATTGATCTATGTCGGTATAAATATGTGTGTGGCTAAAGGATCTTTTCGTCTCTCATGACTAAAGTTTACGTAATAATCGTCTTCGGAGTGGTCACTGGTTACTTCTGTAGACAATCTTGTAGTGGCGGCTCCGCAGTGTACATAGACCATAGGCTTAAGCCTTTCTGTAAACCACTTGATCTCGGTGAGTACTGTGAGGACTTTCATGCTGAGTTTTCAGGTGTGTTGTTTCAAGGCCTTTCCCTAATTGTGTTGGCCATGTACAGATCACCAAATGGTGATGTGGGTAGGTTTTTTGAACTACTTGATAAGTGTCTAACCTATATATTGACTTTAGGCATGTTTGTTTTGATTGGTACTGACCACAACATAGACCTGCTCAGTTCTAAGAATAAATCACCCGAGTTCCTGAATATTTTGAGAACTTTTAACTGCTACAGTTCAGTGATTTTGCCTACCAGAGGTAAAGCATCTTTAGACTCTTTTATTACTAACCTCAATAAGTGGGACTATGAGGTTGTGGTCAGTGATGATCAGATTGCTGATCACAAGCATATTTTTCTTACTGCTTTTCTGAATAGACAGTCTAACCATGAATTAGATATAGGCCTAGTTCCTAAAAGTGTTTCCTACCGAGAAATCAATGAGTATGCAATTGAACTTTTTTCTCTTTATCTTACTACGCATGTTGGGTCTTGGTTTGATGTAGTAAAGACTCTAACAGCAAATGATGCTTTTTCTCTTTTTTTTGAGAAATTTCAAGAAGCTTTTGAAATATACTTCCCAAAAAAGGTCAAGAACATAAAACCTAAGAAACCTCATAATAAACCATTGAGTAACTCCCCCAAAGTAAAGAACTGGTTTACTCCGGAGCTTGCTAGGCTAAGAGGTTTCATTGTCCTTGTTAGCGACCTCGCTGCTACCGAACTTCATCTATTACCTTTGTTGCGTAATCTGAGGAGAGACTACCGCAAAAAACTAAAGGAAGCTAAGATAAATGCGAGTGCTCTGTTTATCTCTGAAGCATCTAACCCTTGCAAAGCTGCCTGGAGCCTGATCAACAGGAACAGGTCAAGACGTCCATCTGCTGATTCCAGCTTTGCTACAGCAGATGATTTCAATCAATACTTTGTAGACTCGGTGGATTCCATTCTGGAAAATGTACCTAGATCCAACCTTAACCTGTGTGACATTGCAAATGATATTCCAGCTGTAGCTACTCACTTTGAGTGGAATCATGTAAATTCACTTGATATTGTTAATACTGTTCATAGTTTTAAAGCATCTGACAGTAAAGATATATACGACTTGACCCCCAATTTGTTAAAACGGGTTATACATGTAATTGCCCCAATTTTGACGTATCTATTAAATGCATGTTTTTTGGAGGGAGTTTTTCCTCAGGTACTTAAAATGTCAAGGACCGTGCCCATTTACAAAAAAGGACTTTTGAATGAGGTAGCTAGTTATAGGCCAATATCCTTGATTCCTGTACTAGCCAAAGTTTTTGAATCTATTATGTTCAGTCAGCTCTATAATTATTTTGAGCAGCAACACCTTCTAGTACCGGCCCAATTTGGTTTTCGCAGAGCGAAATCAACCTCAATGGCTGTCGAAGAGTTTGTTCAAGTAATTATCAATGCTTTTGAAACCAAGCAATCTGCTTCGGCAATTCTATGTGATTTATCCCGTGCATTCGATTGCGTTCAGCACAAAATCTTGCTCGAGAAACTAGAGAAGTATGGACTAGAGGGTGGTGCACTCAGATTGATTGAATCATATCTTGACAATCGTCATCAGGTTGTTAGCTGGGACGGTAGAATGTCTACCCCTGTTCATGTAAAACACGGAGTTCCCCAGGGCTCCATACTGGGGCCACTTCTTTTCATTGTATCAATTAATGACTTGTACCACAGAGTTGGGGATGGTGTCCTGCTCTTTGCAGATGACACAACACTTGTATCTAGTAACACCAGTTGGCAGGCAGCTGTAACTTCAACAAGAGAATTGTTTAGTGATGCTTCACAATGGTTTATTGATAATAAGCTCTCACTCAATAATTCTAAGACCCAGGAAATAGTTTTTAGTCTTTGCAACAGTTCTGAAATCAGTGAACCAGTAAAGTTGTTAGGGTTCACAATTGACCCCAAATTGTCTTGGGACGCTCATGTTGATCAACTATGTAGTAAGCTTAGTAGAGTTATATGTTTGTTAAGGAGGCTTGCTACTGAGCTTCCAAACAGCTTTGTACGACAGGCTTTCTTTGCCTTCTTTCAAAGCCATGTCACTTACGGAATCATCTTATGGGGACATTGTCCAAGTGTGAGTAAAATTTTATTGCTGCAGAAGGAAGCAATTAGAGTCATTTCAGGTGCTGGTTGGCTTGATCATGGCAGGCCTCTTTTCATAGAGAAAGGGGTCCTAACTGTATATAGTCTATACATATTTCATTGTGTTGTTGCTATAAAGGAAAGAAATGGTTTATTTACATCCGTTGGTGAGGTTCATGAGCATAATACAAGGTCAAATAGAAATTTGTTCTATCCCAGAACTAGGCTCGAAAAAACTTTGAAATCTTTTCCTGTTTCAGGTATACGTTTTTTTAACAAGCTGCCTGTCACCGTCAGAAACCTTCCCCTTCCAAGATTCACTCAGGTCATGAAGTCTTGGCTCATTCTGCATCCTTTTTACCACACTAATGAATTTTACAACACCAACCTCAACACCTCTTCTGCCCTATTAAACCCCTAACTGCTGTACCTTCCATCCGGACCAGATCAGGTTTCATATTTATATTTTTCATATTTATATTTTTCCAAATCAGGTGTCTTATTTATATTGTTTGTCATTCTTATGTAAGTTTGTTGCACTTGCATGTGATTTGTGATTTGCACTGTTCTAGATATAAGCATGACGAAGCCTATTGTATTTTGTAAATATTTAATGGTAAATAAATCTTTGAATCTTTGAATCTTTGGTTTTGCTAAAAAAGGTCCTATTGTCACAAAAAGGACTCTGGGGACAGTAAATTATTGTATTATGAAGAAAGACTAAAATACCTTTGACAGTTTCTGAACCATCAGTATGCAGTTTTACATTTGAATACCAGAAAAAAGTGTACAATTTATTATCAACATTCGGTAAAACAAAATTACAAACCTTAAGCAAGTAGAAACCAAAATATGTAGTATACATGTGTGTGGCAACACTGAATTATTTTAAGACCTGTCTATCTTCCCTTCCAACATAGCAAGTGTGTGTTCTGCAACAGCTCAGCAAAAAATATGGCAAACTGATGGGGCTTAAAATGAAAAACAAACTATGTAGATGTATTAGACAATTATTGCAAGTTAAGAAATTAATAATTTAAGAGGTTCAAGAAGTTAAACACAACGTGATTACATAAATAAAAAATAAAAAATTGAAGATTTTCACTTTAGTATAATTCATAAAATTAAGAACAGGCAACTAACTTTTTAGAACATTTTAGTTGGCCAACGTCTATATATAAATTCATAGTACTATAAACATGGGATTATAGTGTTGAGTTCACATTTGAACATTCATTTTGTGTATCATCAATAACTTCTTCCATGTAAAAACTTTTGAACATTACCAGGTCTTGCAAATAATAAGGTCAGTTCTAGAGTCGGTATCGGTTGTCTAGTTCAAAGCATTCCACATCGCAGGAAATGTTCAATGATGATTTTGAAGATGTTACGAATGATACTGGAGAGTGTGGATTGTGACTTATTTGTTTTTGAAGGCGTCGTCAGCAACTCTTGTAGAACATGTTCTCCTTCGTATAGGTGAGTAATGCAGCCTCCAGAGAGGGCAGTCGTAAATGTTAGAAGTGGTTAAGTGTACAAGGGACTCAGGTAATGTAAAAGGGGAGACTGGGGTAATGAGAGTCGCCTAAGGGTGGATCACCATAAAAACAAAGATTTCAGTTAAACGACTTTTATTCTCATAGATATATGCACAAAATATTGTTTTGTACCATGTAAATCTGTGTTAACCTTGATCAATTAATTTAGGAGTCAAACAACAAAACTAAATATTGACCACCAGTCCCCCAGTCTGGGGTAAAGAAAGTCAGTATTTGTTAAAATTGGTTTGGACTAATAGGAAACATGGAAATTAATTTATGCAAACTTGTTTTGTCAATGATTTATCAATACCAACTAATGGCTGTATTTAATCACCAATTGATGCACCCTGGCAAGGGAGAAATGCTTTCGATGGGCAGAGTAATATAAGAGTTTTTGGTAGACCAGGCATTTTTTGTATTCTTTCATCTTGCAAAAATACATTCTTAGACTGCCGATGTATGTTCTAGGCATTTGAAACGTTAAATAAAGGAAAACAAGTGTTGGGTGATGGTTGGCATGTAACTCAGTGAGCATGTAATTTGCCAGTGAGCATGCATCTGGGGGTACTCTCATTAATAATAATTGAATACAAATTACACGACTAAGTAATAAAAGTTATGAAAATACAAATTAAAGTAATTTTAAATATAATGAATTTACAACATTAAGAATCACATTTCAGATTTGCAATGTATAAAAACTTGAGTTACAGTAGTGACAAATGACTTAAAAAACAAAAACGTATTGCATTATTTTAATTTTACATGTGAAAGACAAATTTACGTATGGTTTCCTGACGGACTGGGATAATGTAAATACTTGGTTGAAATATTCACTTTGTATGAGCAACATGTCTCCTCAAGGTATTGAGAAAATAAATGCCGAGATAAAGACATAATTTACACACACATAAATTAATATAGAAAAAACTCATACATAAGCTTTCTTCAAATTGGTGGAATCCCCCTCGCTTATAATGACGTATAAACTTATAACTTCTCAGAGAAAACAGATTCGTAGATTATCTTACTTATTTTTCTGGCCATTGTCGTTGGAACTTGATCTTTGGCTTGGCCTTGATAAATATCTAGTGAATCCGAGTACAACAAACCATTTGGTCTCGATCATGACAGTTAACCGGAGTGAAAACTATTGACCGCATATTAATACAATTCCTATATTGATGTTAGTTTATTTAAAAATGAAATTGTTCAGTGTTGTTTGTTTTTGTATAGTAGTGTTGTGTGTTTCCGGGAGTGATGGGTTTAAATTGCTTAAGAAGTTAAAGGAAGTGCTTCACCCAACAGAACCTACGACGACAGTTGTGCCGATTCTTCCCTCTTATGAAAACCACCACGAACTTGAGGAACATGCGGTATCGAATATCAAGAGTGACCACTCTGACGAGGACACATCTTCAAGTGAGTCAGTTGAAGAGCAAGGAGTCGGTTCTCACAAGAAATATAAAAATCATGATCATTACAATGGTTTTCATAGTAAAGGACCGCAAACAACTACGTACAGGTATGAAGAAAGCAATTACAACTATGGTCAGTCTTCTTTCACTAATAGTGGTGATAATATTAAATCGACCACTCCAAGGAACTATAACTTAGATCAAAATGAACGTGAAAAAGAATCTACGGGTCAGTCTTCTTTCACTAATAGTGGTGATAATATTAAGTCGACCACTCCAAGGAACTATAACTTCGATCAAAATGAACGTGAAAAAGAATCTACGGGTCAGTCTTCTTTCACTAATAGTGGTGATAATATTAAATCGACCACTCCAAGGAATTATAACTTCGATCAAAATGAACGTGAAAAAGAATCTACGGGTCAGTCTTCTTTCACTAATAGTGGTGATAATATTAAATCGACCACTCCAAGGAACTATAACTTAGATCAAAATGAACGTGAAAAAGAATCAACGGGTGATAACCAGAAAAACAACCAACCATTCGAAGGTGTCACACTTAATGAGTTTCTCTCAGTTACTTCAACGACTACTAGATCTCAATATCAAAATAATGATGAACAGTCGGTGTATAGTGGTGACGAATCAACATCGACTACAACAAGCTCCTACGGCGCCAACGAGAACTACAATCCTCAACAATCCTCATCATCTGGAACATACGCGAATCAACAATCATCGAGCTCCACGGGTCCCTTGGGTTCGGCGAACCCTGAGGGTCAGTCATCACCATTTAACGACGATGAAAAACTTTCGCAAAATGCCCCAGAACAAGCTTACCCTGATGCTTTCAACAGTGGATTTTCAACAACCACCTCAAAATACTATATTGAACCTGGAGCAGGACAATCGCCAGCAACCATTAGTGGAGGGAACCAGCATACATCTTCAAAACATGGCACTAAACAAAATGCCCCAGAACAATCTTACCCTGATGCTTTCAACAGTGGATTTTCAACAACCACCTCAAAATACTATATTGAACCTGGAGCAGGACAATCCCCAGCAACCATTATTGGAGGGAACCAGCAAACATCTTCAAAACATGGCACTAAACAAAATGCCCCAGAACAATCTTACCCTGATGCTTTCAACAGTGGATTTTCAACAACCACCTCAAAATACTATATTGAACCTGGAGCAGGACAATCCCCAGCAACCATTATTGGAGGGAACCAGCAAACATCTTCAAAACATGGCGCTAAACAATCTGGAAATACTGACGGTGGAATAATTATTTTTCCTGATAACCCTATTTTGAACCCTAGTCCTGAACCTGAGAGGATATTTGGAGAACATGATCCTAATTTCAAGACAGCGAAGGAGAAATTCAAGTCAATCCCTGCTCCAGTAGCTGTTGACGATGGAAGAAACATAATTAAGGCCCGTGGAAAAGAGTGCGGTCCTGGTGAGACGTTTAACGCAAGGAAAAACAAATGCGGGAAACTAGAAAGGTCAGTAAAGCTATATTTGTACGATATTATAGTCAGGTGGAGGACGTTTGTAGTTATCGATCCTCATAGAGCCTAAAATCCCGAAAGAAACTTATTTAGCGATCAATCGGAATGTGAAATACTAGAATGGTTTGTAGAACGCATGTTTAAGTCATTACTTTTGTTCTCAAGGTGAAATTCAAGGTACACACCTGTTTAGGTGTTTCTAAATGAACGTATTAAATTAAAAATTGTATAAAGTAATAGTTGAGGATGCACTACTGATATATATGAATAAGTAGAGTTTTATCAGTCTTAGCACAACGCCATTGTTACAATCCTCAGCTCTACCCTAACTCTACGCGGCGAAACCCCGGCTCTTATCACTAAAGTATTGTACCGTATTGCACAGTTCTTAAAAAGATAAAAGATCTTAAAAATAAATCTATCAAGAATTATGTGTAATATTTGAGAGGTAATCTGAAGAATTTTCATATAGTTTTATATCTCCATTTAATTTAAACACAGTTATCACTCCGCCAGAGTCTGAAACTGTAGTTCTTTCACTAAAGTCACAAGGAATAACTTCACAAGTTTACGTTTTTTTAACTGAACCATCAATTCAATAGGTAACGTTATTTAGCTATGGCTGTGGCTTGGGCCTAGGCACCCATCCTAAAACTGAAGTGGTACTATTAAATCAGAATATATACAGTAGTTTTTATGATTAGCTATTTATAACAATCTTCTATTGGTTTCAGAAAGTGAAAACGGAGAGACAAGCAAAATTTCCTGCCAACGTCAGGCTGGCATATTTTGTTAATCCATCATTTGATATTACGACTCGATCGGTTCTTCCTAACTTTTATTTGTTAGTTTTACAAATTATTGATAACGATAAAATGGTAAAAACAACCTTATTTTTTGTAATTCATTTTCCTAATAACTCCGCTCTGCTGTGAATTATTTCTTTCTTAGTTATAATGAAATGGGAAACAATAATTAGGAACAAGCTCTTCTGACAATTTATTATTCAATTCAGCAAATTATTCTTTAATACTTTACTTTGAAATGGCGACCATACAATTGTAGGTATTTAAGCCAAGTATGAATGGGGATGAGTGTAGGATGAGTGGTGACTAAGGCCGACTAGACAACAGCTGTTGTGAGTCGGTGGCTCAGTTGGTAGCGTCACAGACTTCGGGCCCAAGGCAGCGATGTCGTGGGTTCGGGTCCTGGTCACTACCATGTGGACGGGCAAATGCAAGGTTAAAAGAGGCCGCCAACCTCATAAAAAAAATTAATAGCCTATGGCAACTAGGGGACCTAGCGTTGACAGTTAATAGCGAAATCCGATTTGCCTTGTAATTAACGAATTAGTCTCATTATATTAATTTTTGAAATTTCGTAGGTTATCTAAATAATAAGATAGAAGGATAAATTGTGATTTAAAAGTATGAATATGTGCTTTGAACTGCATAAGCTATGCTGTACAATGGTTTTTATAGTGGGAAGACTTGATAAGATTGGAATTTCTTTCAAGGGGTCCTAAAGAACATAGTATCGATAACAAACTAAGTCATTCACCGAAAATATCAGTCCTTATACATATACGTAGATAAGATAAGAGCTATAAGTGGTGTAGGAGTTTCCCGAAAGTTTGTTTTGCAAACTGATCTCATAGCTTTGGAATTTATCGCTCTATTAGAAGTAAAAAATAATATATTGATCACCATTGTACGTGTTTTACAATTTACCAAAAGTTAATAAATATACGTCCAATAAAACTAAAACTATTTTAAGTGTTATTAGACATTTTTCTTTACTTTCCGTAGAAGTGTTGCAGCTGACCATTATCAATTTGCAATAAGTAATACAAATTAAAGTCTTCCAATTGTACGAAGTGGCCCTAAAACAGTTCTCTTTAGCAGAATTTCTCCTATAGTCCTTCGTCTTTCTTATAATACAGTTTTTATAATTTTTTTAAGACAAACCTATTCAAAACAGACCATATAGATGGATTATGTTTCTAAACGTTGTAATTTATAACACTCACAAGACCTAATTAAGTATTTATGAATCTAAAATAACATTGCCAACATAATTACACATCACCTGTAATAACGCGTGCACATGATTTTAAAATATTATATTTTCTAACAAGAGTAGAAGTGAGTCATATTCACATATTCGAGATCATTGTTTAGGTGCGAGATTTAACGAGCACTTTTGGTCGAGAATATGTTTAGAGAGACACTTTCACTCGTGTTTTGAACGATACTTAACGCTAGAATATAAAGACTAATTATTATCTCAACTAAACATACATTGAATATTACTTTATTACAGTTAGAAACATTACACAACTCATAGCATTTATTAGGTTATGCCTTCACTTTAAAGTAATATTTACTGTGGTTGTACAGTTTTGGTTGTTGAAAATTGAAACGGTTGCCAAATTAATAACAAATATTTTTACCTGTGGCAAAATCCAAAACAGATAGTTAACATTATTTTTCTGTAGTCAACAATGTAATGATGAATTTTCACAGGTGATAAACATTAACATGTCACGAAAACAGTTAATTTCACAATAGTGTAGCAAAAATCAGACGTTTCTTTTACCTTTTAACATTGGTAAGTGTAATTTTTAGGGACATCCATCTGTAAAACAAGTTCGTAAGGATTTAAACTATTATCCTGTGTACTAAAATAAAATAAAATAAAAAACTTAAAATGAAAGAGAGGAAAGAATATAAGGCAAGAGAAGAAACAAAAATCAACGATTTGGGACTGGCTGTAGATATAAAGAAAGATTGTTTACCTACGACCGTTTTTTAAAGTAGCCATTTCAGTTCAGTTCTTAGAATTGAAAAGTTTCACTTAACTGCTGTTTACTTTCATATCAGCATAATTTTTGTCATATCAACACGGGTAACGGACCAATGAGGTTCAAGTATTGAGAGAAAAGAATTAAAATTGTAATGCTTCGAACGTCAACTAATCAGCTGATCAGCTGATCAGTTGACCAATTTAATTGTTGATCCGACTTGTTCATGTTGATACTCGCGTATTCTTAATTAAGTTGGTGGAAGTTGCAGATTACCCGATTTAAAAATGTCAGGTAAGAATGCTGCTAGCAATGTAATATTTAACGAAGTTTAACAAACACGTAATTACAGGAAATCAGCTGATTATACAACAAGTCGTTGCATCACTAATACACGAAAACATAACCTCTCTAAAAAGTTATCAGTAGTGATTGTTAGTAATTAAATCCAGATTGACAGTAATTAAAAAACGGTCGTAGGTAAAGTAGGCCTAGTGTACGCAACTCGCGTTAAATTGTAAATGACAAAGTGTAAATTTCATATTTATAGTTAAAACTCATAGGCTAATAACACTACTAGTTGACAATTACGTATTTTTTTCTGCAAAAACATTTAAGGTTATGCAGTTTGTTTTTAACCATCGCCAATATATTTTTTTATTAAATCAACGTACAGCCTTACGAATAAGGATAAAGCTTCAACACTGAAATTTTTGGTAAGATTCCTTTTATCATCAATCCATCAATGCATTCTCAGTACGATAATAATGCACAATCTCAGTATCAACTTTGAAAATATTGTTCTAGTTGGAGGTATCAAACATACCATCACAATTTTTGCATTCTTATGGATTAGCAAAATAAAGTACATTTCTGTCCGCTTTATGTAGATAGAGTTTCGTTGCTTTCTAAGAGGTTCATATTTGATCAATTTTAAACTAGTTTGACTTGAAACAATGATAAAAAAGGTAAACTGTGGCGTACACTACAAAAACAATAAAGTAATATTATTCTAGAGTATAGTACACATTGTAAAATATACTCTGAAATAAAAAGGAAAAAATCAGTTTACTGTGAACTCAAAACATAATCAGATGAAACACTTGTCAAATCAGTGTTTAGGTTTGACAATAACTGATTAAGCTTCTTCCACTATTTAGTGACCGTGAAGACCATTGTAATGAGTTACGAATAGAACAGCTGACATTCCACAGACTACATCTTTACCATGGTGGTTGATGACATACCATATGAGTGACAAACCCAGCTGTTATCAGCGAATTGTTGCTCAACCTGTTATCAATCTTATCAGCTCATTACACCTCCGATCCCACACGAGCCTGCATCTCTACTAAAGGTAGGTGTTAGGTTAAGTTTTACAGATCAGTTTAATTTTAGAACTGACCCACTCAAGAATCAATCAAAATTAGAATTAAATTTTACATTCATATTTTTCGGGAGGTAAAATTTTAGTTTTGAGCCTGTGCCATGTCCTAATTCTAAAAATAATGCTTGATAAATTGAATATTTTTCGTCATACTACAGCAAAAACAGCCATTTTTAATGCATGCGTTGCGGATCTAAAGTAGCATTTTTACTAAATTTTTAGTCTCTAGGGGGTAAAAATCTGCTACTGTTAACAGTAGTAAATTTCGATTGTGGCAATCGTATCGATTGAAATTATTTATCGATTGATTTATTAGGTAAGATTTTTGCCTATTGTTGTCGATTGCTTGACATATCGATGGTATAATATACTGTAACACAATCGTAATAGACGAAACGATTAAATTACTTACTAAACAGCTGCTTGTATCCATTAGCAAATTAAATTAAAAACAAGTTAGAAAAGGTTTTGAGAGGTTACCCTAAATTACGTTTTGTAACATAGTTTGTTAAAATAATGGTGCAATATGACGAAAATATAGTTCACCACACGGGCAAAAAGTGACTTTTTAACCCTCGCTCATTTTCCGACCTCAATCGGTTTCGCCTCAATCGTAAAACTTGACCTCTGGTCAAAAAGAGTCACTTTAGGCCCTAGTATGCCTAAAGAAATATACTATTATTACTTTCCAAAAACAAAATTGATTTTAAAATTCTATTTTAGTGAAATGTAAAATGTGCATTAAGTTAGGTTTATTTTATTTATGAGATGTTGGAATATTAATCGAAATATCGACATTGTGCAATATTCATTGAGGGATGTTTGCGGAAATCTTTGATCATGATTAGTAAAAAACTAATTTTTTGAAGTTTTTGGATCTGCAATGACTTTTATTAAGAGATCAATAAACACTTTCCTTTTTATATACTGAAGTAAACAAGATTAATAAAAGAGCAAGCTTATGATTGTAACAGCATCTAAGTTAAACCAAATATTTATGGTTTTGACTAACTGTATGGCAGTGAAAACAAGGAACAAAAAATCCAAAAGTCATTCAAACTACTTAAGTATAGACTCTTATTATTACCAATGATCTTATTAAGTCAGTAAAAAGGCTACAAATATATCACTCCATTTCCCACTCATCCTTCACTCATATTTGGGTAAAATACGCACCTAGGTGGCGTCCCCATCTCAATAATTGATGATTGAGATGGGGACGCAATGGGGATTATTTTAAGCGAAATAAGCGTGAACGATGAGCTTAGGGAAGTGTGAAACCCATTTTATAGCTTAGTTACTGGTGAAGAACATATGTTGATAAGCCAGGTTTTTTAATGCCCAATGATAAAGGACAGCTGAAGGGCAGATTTACGAACACCATAAACACAGTTATCGAAATTATGAGAATACAATGTAAACATTTGGACAAAATTTTTTTCAATAATCCTACAGATAACATCTATATCTATAAAAGAGGAACTATGTATGTATGTGTGTGTATGTGTGTATACACGTGCTCGACAGATTGTAATGCAACTTTCAGGCATTATTAGGCATCTTTCAAGGATGGTTTGTGGTTTGTGTAAAGTTTGGTGCAGATCCGTCAAAAGGGCTCCGCCCCAGAGGGTTTTAGGTGGGCCAATGTCTGTCTTTTTAAACTACAATGTTTACAAATAAATATAATTTAAAAGCAGGTGTTT